TTGTTTATGTTGTTAGTGACGTCATTGCTTATGACTAACAAGTGAGACCATTCTTTGTTGGACGTCATTAATCATTTTTTAGCGACATTCTTTACATTATGACATCATTATATGTTTCTACAGATTGCATACCTGATGTTCCTTATGCTGTTCAGTTACGTGATTGTAGTAACCGAGCGCAGTTATCCTCTTATCGCAGAGATCGTTCTCATTGTTTTTGTTTGTTCTCTTTGCACTGAAGAAATCAGGCAGGTCAGTGTAAGTCGAGTTATTTTCAATAAACGAATGAACATAGAATGTGCGCATAGTTAATTTGTGCACAGATATGACTAAATACACAACATGGACATACACTATGTTATGTTGCTGTTATCATTAGAATTGTTATTGTCACGTGCTTTCATTATTCACAGATTTGTCAGTCAGATGTATCTACTTCAAATAACAAATTCATCGCTTGGGCTTCCAGTAAATGGAATATCTGTGATGGRCTCGCTGTGGTATTCTTTTTTGTAGGCCTGGGGCTAAGATTCAACGAACCCACTGCCGCGATTGGTCACGTGGTTTATAGCCTMGATRTCATGTTATGGATTATTCGTTTATTGGATATTTTCTCCGTCAGTAAGCACCTTGGTCCATATGTGGTTATGATTGGTAGAATGACTGTCGATATGCTGTATTTTCTWTTRATTATGGTTGTATTTCTATTGGCCTATGGCGTCGCACAGCAGGCTATTCTGTTTCCAAAGGAACGAGGATCCTGGGGACTTATCTCCAAGATCTTCTTCAGACCGTATTTCCAGACTTACGGAGAGTTGTTCATCACGGACCCTATACAACGTAAGACTAATTCTCGGTACCTGCAGTWCATTATAATAGCGTTGCTGGTATACAGCCTTTTCCACTAGACATCTATTTCTTTGTTAATTTTGTGTAATTATCTAACTCGGAGACAGGGGCGCTAGGGGGGCTATAGCCCCCCTAACTTTTTCATTCCGAAAATAAAAATTAAGAAATCTCGTATTGAATCGTCTTTCTAAAAAGCTCCGACGTCCCTGTCGTCGTTATTCAGCTGGCCTGGTAATAGTTTAAGCAAACTGACCAGTTTTACTTATCTTATGTGATCTCTCTTGTGGTAGGATTGATTTGAATAGATTTTTATAAACTCGTCCCCAGTCCCCTACTCGGTCAACATTCAATGCCTTCATGAGAGGATGTCCGTAGAATATGTTGTGTTCTCTCGTTGGTTTGATTGCATTCATAAGTCATGAGAGAATGTCAGTAGAATATGTTGTGTTCTATCGTTGGTTTGATTGCATTCATAAGTCATTCGCTTTGATTGGTACTTAAATGGCATGTTATATTGACGTACGCGTTAACATTAGAAGTGTTGGTTTGTCTTTAGTGACAGTCAACAGCACTACTACAGAATTTGACACTCCTAAGCACGATGAATACAGCGGCACCATTGCTACAGTCATCATGGCCTTCTACCTTCTTGTGGCAAATATTCTTCTTTTAAACCTGCTCATTGCTATTTTCAAGTAAGTAGCAGGGCTACCTGTGTAATACATCGAATTAATCGAAGTGTCCTATTTATCTATTTCTATCTTATTTTTGTGATTATTTGCTACACTTTACTTATTTTCTACAGCAATACTTTCTCGGAGATCCAAGCCAATTCAAACCAAATATGGAAGTTTCAGCGGTATGATCT